TCCCGGAAAACCGCATACTAAGCGGTGTGCGGTCAATGACCCTGTAAATCCAATCGCTGATACCTGATTTTAGCTGCAGGAACCTTTTTTCCTTTCAAACCAAGGGCCGTTCTATTCTTCCTTCGTCTCCCTCTGTTGGTGCTGTACGCCCCCCTGGTTCACGGCCCCCCGCAAACCACCGAAGGTTAATACCTCGCTGATCTTGTCGACGCCCGCAAAGAGCATACACAATCTGTCCACGCCCAACCCCCATCCGCCCGTCGGTGGAAGGCCCCACTCTAGCGCAGCACAGTACACCTCGTCAACGCCTCCTTCTACCTCAGGGGTAGAGTTTTCTTCGTCCTTCCATTGAAGCTGCATCTGGAACTTCCTCCTCTGCTCAATGGGCGAATTTTCCTCCTCGTAGGCATTAACGAGCTCCTTCCCACCGATAATGAGCTCAAATCGTTCAGTCACCCTCCGGTTATCACGGATCGAGGTTTTGGCCAATGGTGAGAGGGCCTCTGGGTGGTGAGTGATGAATGTCGGTTCCTGACAAAGCGGCTCTAGATAAGCTCCCGAGAGCTTATCTAGGATTCTCGGCACGGTTGGCGACTCCGGCTCGGCAATGCCTAGCTCCCTCAGCAGGTTTCGCAGCTGTGCCCTGACGTCTTCCTCCGGTTGCGTATCGAGATCTGGCAGTGGCCTCCCCATGGCCTGTTCGAGTGCAGGAATGAATTCCAGCCTCTTGAAGGGTGAGTCAAAGCCAATCTCAAGTTGGTCTAGGTTCTTGAATTTCTCCTCTTTCAGCACTCGAACCTTCTGTGCCAAGGTTGAGAACAACGTTTCGGTGAAGCCGATCAAGTCCTCCAACCCGGCATACGCCTGGTAAAACTCGCAAGTGGTGAACTCCGGGTTGTGCGTGGCGTCGATGCCTTCATTCCTGAATTGGGTACCAATCTCAAAGACCCTGTCCATGCCCCCAATCACCAGTCTTTTCAGCCACAGCTCCGGTGCGATCCTTAACGCGAGCTTTTTACCGCGATAGGCCGTCGCTTCGGTCAAGAAGGGCCTAGCAATTGCGCCACCGGCTTCTTCGGCCATGATGGGAGTCTGTACCTCTACAAAGTTACGATCGAGGAATTGCTCGCGGAGATGCTGGATGATGTGGGACCGTAGCCGGAGGATCTGTGTAGCAGTCGGACTGACCATGAGGTCAATGTGGCGGTTTTGGTGGCGTTTTTCCTGGCTCAAGATTCTTGTCGGCGGTGTGTGAAGACATGGTGATAGGACATCCATATGCGCTTTTGCGAATAGCGATAACTCGCCTGCAGGTGTGCGGCCGGGATGTCCAGTGATGCCTTCGTACAGGAGTGAGGTGTCAGGCATCGCATATCTAGAACAAGGCCTTTGAGATGAGGTGAGTACTAACTAACAATGTCTCCAATCCTGGTTAACATGGCAGTATTGCGGAAATCATCAACATTTCCGCCGACACGGCTATAATTAAAGACAGCCTGCAGCTTGGCGCCATCCTGGACGAGGTCGTAGAATATCAACTTTGATGATACATCTCTGTAGTTGTTTATTCTGCCTTTGACGCATAAGAAAAACATGAACCAAAAGCGAGAAAAAAAAAAGAGAAACTTGATTGCAAAAAATAAAATTGGATTCTCATTTACAAAATTTCCCATCATTCTTGTGGGGATTTTACAGCGATAATACATGATATCGCGTGTGATTTCCAACTGCGTAGAAATTATGAACGAAGAGCAATGGGTACGGTACACACCTCTAACTGTAATCATTTGTGTGTCATCTATTACTCCTACGTCTATTGCATGGAAATTCTTTGTGAATTCTTCAAAAGTTTGTATTTTCCCACTGTTATTGATCCGTGGATATAGATCGATGTTGCTATCTTGAAATTGCTTCTGTCTAGCCTCAGGCAGCAATTCTGGCCTTGATGTAGCAAGAGAATTACCCTTCTTCTTCGATGAATAGAACCTTATTAGTCTCGGGAGTGCCGGCACAATCCTAGATCTGCATATTGGCAGGACTGGCCGGACAGCCCGAAGACTTATTGACGCCATTGTTTTTGTTCTTTCACTCTTTCCTTGCCTATGATTGGATGTTTATGTTAGGAACAGGCTATCATATGAATAAAAAGGGATTGATAGAATATGTGATATCGGGTGCAAGTCAGAGAGAAGATTATAGCTTAGTGAAGTCACACGCCAGCCTTGGAACGAATTCCAAACCAGCATCATTCGCAACGGTTCTTATAATTATGCTCATCACGCGTTGAGGGGCAGATAGATTAAACAAATGAAGCAATGAATTGATTGGAGAAAGGGATAAGTACCTGTTAATGAGTTGGGATTGGTGATGACGGGGTGTGTGATGGTATGCGAGAAACAAAAGAGAAAGAGAAAGAGGAGGTGTTGAAGATTTTAAATTGGTAGAAATCCCTGTGGCTGGCGTACAAAATGGGTGGGTGTGGGGCGGCGGTGATAAACCGTTAGGTTAGCCACACTATTCTTGGCATCAACGTCAACCTTTCAACTTCAAAAAAAAGTTCACCACCAAACGCCCTCGACTCCATCTTCCCCATACTTTCAAGAAAAAAAATATAACTGAACAGTAACCGATAATGTCCTTCCTCGGGTTCGGTCAGCCTCAACCAACGAGCGCGCAGAAAATTGCCGCTGCCAAGCAGGAATTGGAGATGGTTACTGATATGTTCAACCGGTATCTTCCCCCCCCCACCCCCCCACCAAACATCCCCGATAACGAGCGTTCTACGCGATATGGCACTATGGTTCAGGTACTAACTAAAAATTCTAGCTTGACACAATCTTGCTACAAGAAATGTATCCCGCCTAGCTACCAGGAGTCAGAACTCAACAAGGGCGAGTCCGTTTGCCTGGACCGATGTGTATCTAAGTTCTTCGACGTAAACAACAAAGTACCTCCCCCACAGTCACTCCACACAGATTACGGGCGAAAGTATCTAATAAGTTTTTCAAAAAAGGTCACCGAGAAGATGCAGAGCCTGCAGGGCCAGGCAATGGGCGGTGGACGTGCTGGCGGCTTCGGGGCATAGAGGAAATTATAGACTTCCGATTGATCTCTATCTTTTTTTGGGGGGCCTTTTTCCGCATTTCCGGGGGGGGGGGGGGGGTAATTACCGTCGCGGGATGATATATACGAGGAGGAAAGGGAAAAAAGGACGGATCCTTCTCCATTCCCCCACCTCACTTTCCATATACTGTATACAACAGGCGTAGAAGAGAAAAAAGAGGGAATTGTATATTGTACATTATCATCATCAACCCTCCCCTTAACTTATCTTACATGCGCCAGCTGCAGGATTATCGCCCTTTGCCATTGGTGAGAAGCATTTCATCCGGTCATTGCATGGGAGGGAGAACAAATGGGATGAGAGGATGTGAGATGCCTTCGCTTATGTGGGACATAGTGAATGGGTGTCTGGCCATCTCGAACTGTCTTGGATGTCTTATTGGATGGCATGTCTAACCACTAGCAAGAAGTGTCGCTCTTCTTACCCAGAACGAGGCCTCGCCGACATGGTCTTCCTCCGGTCGGCTTCATGGTTTCGATTGGAACATTAGGAATGCTCAGGTGATGGGAAAACTATTACACTAGTGCATGCCAGGACTGAAGTCTGCTTCTTGGCCGTGAAGGGTTCAATTAAAAGATTTTTCTACTTAACAGATATGACCCCATAATATCCATAAGAATGATCACACGGGTCTCGTCCAGTGACCCCGGAATCCCTCCACAACCCACACATAAACATACCAAATCCTAGGCGGTAAGTCCCCCACGATCGAGGTGTCCCCTCCCCGCAGTTATAGCCCCCACTGCGCCCCCACCAACAAGGCAAACTAACACCCAGCAAAAACATAAGCGCCCCGCATGTGGAAATCGCTCCGTGTTGGAAATCCCAAACACAACTCGAAATGTGGAATTTAAAAGTGTTTGTCACTTGCCAAGCGCATGCCGTAAGCTGATGTCATACACCTGTTCAATGGCTACAGGGTTCGTGGATATTGTAGACTATAATCATGAGATGTCACTCGCTGGTTTGTATAGCAACGCCTATTCCTTTTTGAGGACTTCTGACAAGAGGTTTCGTTATGGAGTTGTTTCTATGAAATACCTAAATAGGAAGATAATAACATTGTGATTTCTCGTCAGGGTTGCAGCACTATAACATCACTCATCCTTTAAAACCAAAAAAGTTAACTGGCATCTAGATGTGTATGCGGGATTCTTCATAGTATACACCGTAGTAGATTTGTAGCCTACGATTTACTAGAGCCTTAAATAGGATATCCGCCTAGCTAGAGCTTTTGGTATTCATGCCGTATATGCCTGCTCGAGCTTGATTTAGGTTAGTTGGACGGTGATTGTTAAATCATGAACGATCACTCGGGCATAAAGAAACCTCTTTCTGTCGAGCCAGAGCTTCCAGTGCCTACCGGAACATAGCTCAAAGCTTTTAGAGTACTCTATAGCAGAAAAGTCTATTCACCCTCTCGTTTTTATGTTTAGTGGCGTTGTCGTCTTTCCAAACAAAATACGGCATATACTGGTGATTCAGCACCTTGTCTTAATTCTACCCAGACTAATGGTTCAAATTAACCTTTTCTCTCTGTCGGTGTCATTTTGAAAAGCCTCCCCCTCCCCCCCCTCGTGTTTCAAACGTCTCTATCCACGCCCAAGCCCAAAACTCTTTCGTGCTAGATAGAAACGGGAGAACAACGCCCCACACAGACAGCTGCGTAGCCAAGCCCGGTCGTAGCCCTACCTATCGAATCTTGGTAAATCTGGTGTAATTTTAGTCCTCTGCAACCCATACTATTTCGTTCAGCGCCCCGTGATTGATTTATTCAAGCTTCGTCATTCAAATTTTTCCAGCGTCACAACATCTCGTTCGAACAACTAATTCAAGATAATGCGGGTTACCGATTAGTAACAGGCCAGCCAGTAAAATGTCGTTTTGTGGGTGATGCTAATGTCTTTCTTACTCCAGATGGTAGGAGACAAATCCCCACCAGGAGGGGCAATTCCAGGGCTCAACCTAGACCAACGTCATTGTACTCGAATAATCAACAATACAAAAAACTTCAGGTCATCGTTGAGAAGTTAGCACTTTACGCAAATCAGGTCAAAAGGGCCTTCCCGGCCCCCACAAATGCCGAGGAAATATCAACTGTCAAAGTATCTCTCGCGGCAGCTTCACAATTTGTCTTCGACGCAGAAGGAGCCATTTATCGCGAATCGGGAGTAGAATATATGTTAAAAACTTTGACAGTCTACGGATTGCAATACCTCAAACACCCAGGCAGCGGTAACGACGAGGTCGTGGCTATGGCCACCAAGCTCTACGACCGCTGGACCGCTGGTTGTTTTACTCTAAACAACACGCCGACAGTGAGAGAGGTCCCCAGGACTGTAGCAGTCAATAAGAGGGAGACGGTTAAGTCATTTAGCTTGAAGAAAAGTAATATGGGAGACCGGGAAGCTACTATCCAGAAGATCTTTCGCGTATTTGGACACAATGGCATAGCCATTGGAGAGTAGGTTTCGCCCTGTTAACCAACCCGCCCCCCCCTAGCCCTTTATGAACGTAGGTTAACAAGAGGCAGGTCCTGGTCGTGTCAAGCAGAAGCATGGTGGCGTGGGGCTCATGGCCATCCGATCGCAGGAATTCCTGGCACCAGCGAAACTGGTGCGTATAGTATTGTAATCTCTGGAGATTCCAGATACAAAAACTTTGATATCGATCAAGGAGACAGAATAAAATATTCCAGCTTCAATGCTGAGCGGAGTGAAGTGATGAGAAAGTCAAAGTATTCCAGGATCCCTGTCCGAGTACTCCGGGCGGCCTCCGAAAATTCGGCGTTCGCACCTGAGCAAGGGATCCGCTATGACGGTCTGTACCTTGTGGTCGGCTACGTCGAGAGAAGGAGGAATGGAGGGGTATATTGCTGGCTCTTCATGCTCCACAGGTCCAGCAGCCGCCACGATGGTTGGAGCGGAAATAGGTGTCAGGAGAAAGAGTTTAGGTCTGGCCGGTGTTGACCAGGGGACCGAGCAGCTTTGTACAATCACAGTTCCAGTATATTAAAGCTACCAACTGCAAAATAGGTTTTGATTTGAAGTGTTTCGAAATCTAAATATGTGCGCATGGGTCTACTCCAATTGGATCGTATCATAAGAACTAATTTATGATGGATTTTTCTCTAGATCTCTATAATGCTTTATTTCCACATGTAGTTCTTATTTCTCGTGAATCATAAGGAAAGCACAGCTTGTCAGTTGAAGTAATTCACCATGAAAGTACTAAAACCAGATCCTAGCTCAAATGATCAAACTTAAGTTAAGCTTATTGAAATAATAATAATGATACAAGTTCTAATATGCTATCCCAACTTGTGTCGTAAGATAATGACCCGCTGAATAAGATCTTAAGAGTAAGAGTAGGGGCATTCCCAGTGGCGTCTAAATAGATCCATTGCCCTTGCCTTAGATCCAGTAGCAAAGAATAAAAAAATTCACCCTTCTCTTCGTCGGCAACGTAAGTATTCAAATTTATAAATCAATTAATATTGCTGCGCATTTTATACATCAAGAGAACAGAAAGTATTGCGGAATATATTCAACAGGACTCCCACCCCTGGATTAAATCCATGACCTCCAGATGGTCATGGGAATCAAACGCTCGGTATTCCTCGATGTGGAGTGCTATGAAGTCCAGGTTATGTCGTCAGTAAGTTGAGGATGAAAACGGGCCCGAAGCCTAAGTACGTACTTATTATGACGGATTTGACAATGAACCACCATCATGATGATGATGGCACACTGATGGTATCCAACAATAAAGTGATCGTATTGGTGGGGTGTGAAAGAGAGGAATGTGAGGAGAGCCTTACGAACTACTTATACTACAACTATTGGAAACTACCATGATTATTAACATGGCTCTATGTTTCGAGCTCCCTATGAAGGGGTTTATACACAAAGAAGTTCTACGATACATCAATTCACAAGTTATCACTCGCACAACAATATTCTTCTTTGTTCAAAAATACAGATTTCATTACTGTCATTAACTCCCAGAACTAAATAAATACATATACAATATCACCCGCCATTGGGTATTAACAATAAGATCATCCAAAAAAACGAAAAGAAGCACTTAAAACGCCAACTTCGCATGCAGCCCATCCAGCTCTCTCTGCCAGCACCTATGCTTCGCCACCTCATTCGCAAACGCGCTCCCAAACGCCGTCGTACTCGGCTCAAGCTTGGTGCTCTTCAGCAACTTCACATCCGCATTCCACCCCGTGACCACACCATAGCTCGTCACCACCTCCTTACTGTTCTGGTCCAGCGCAAGGGTTACGCCGGGCAGCACACACGCCTGCTGCATAAAGTCGATCGCATCACCGAGGGCGCCAATGGCCTTAAGGTGTCCGAACGCCTCGCGCACCCAGTGGACCGCGCGCCCGTTCTCGCGCAGGGTGAGCGTGCTCTGGGTGCCGGGGTTGATGTAGATTGCGTCGAACATTGTGCTGCGCTGGCCCTCGAGGTGGTGGTCGGGCATGAGGCCGCCGGTGCCGGTGGCGGGGTCGACGCCCGCGGGGAAGATCATGCCGCGGCGCGGGGCGATGACGAATGTGGATGCTTGTTGGGCCTTGAGGGCCGCACGGACGGCGGTGAAGGTGGCCATATCGAAGCCATCGGCGATGAGCATGGCGATGCGGCGGGACTTGATGGTGGGCTTGCCGGGGAACTCGGTTTGGGAGAGGCGGGGGGCTTTGAGGCCGTGGTTGGGATGGCTGGTGGTGGTGGGGGGGTCGCCGCCTACCATCTTTGCGACGCGCTGGGCGAGGGAGATGTCGATATCCTGTGGTGAGGTTAGTTATTGTTTATTTCTTGGGGATAGATTAGGTATAGGGACTTACTGCTAGTCTTTCAGACATGCGCTTGTACACAATTGGCTCATCGCAGTGACTCAGTTCGAAGCCCAGCGCCTGCTCAACATGCGACTTCTCATGCTCCGATAGCGAGTTGTAGAACAGCTGCGCCTGGCTGTAGTGCTCCTTGAATTTCGGTCCATTGGCTCTTGCTTTGATGCCCGCAATCTTAGACGCATGCTCGACGTACGCTCCCGCATCACCATTATAGTTTCCTGGCGGCGCGGCCTCGAAGCGGTTAGGCCAGTAGTTGACCTTACCCTTGTGAATACGGTGGTTCATAGCGCCGTCACGGTTAAAGTTCATCACCGGGCACACAGGCCTATTAATAGGCAGCTGCTCCCAGTTGACGCCTAACCGTGTGATCTGGGTGTCCTGGTACGAGAAGTTACGGCCCTGGAGCAGCGGGTCGTCTGAGAAGCCAACTCCGGGAACCACGTGGGAAGTGCAGAAGGCGACTTGCTCAGTCTCCGCAAAGAACTCATCGACGTTGCGGTTGAGTACCATTTCACCGATCTCGCGGACGGGAACGAGGTCCTAGGGTCAATGATCAACAAATCATCTTTTTCTAGAAGATTTAAGCGAAGATACATACCTCCGGCCACACCTTCGTCGCATCAAGAATGTCGAAATCAAAGCTATGCTCCTCTTCCTCTGCAATAGTCTGGATGCCAAACTTCCACTTCGGATAGAACCCGTTCTCGATAGCCTCATACAGATCCTTCCTATGGAAGTCCGGGTCCTGTCCTGCCAGCTTCAATGCCTCATCCCACACGAGCGAGTGCACACCCAGCTCCGGGATCCAATGGAACTTGACAAAAGTCCTCCTCCCCTCCGCATTAAGGAGCGTAAACGTATTCACTCCAAACCCCTGCATCATCCTGAACGATCTCGGGATCCCACGATCGCTCATCGCCCACGTAAACATATGCGTCGACTCCGGATGTAGATACTGGAAGTCCCAGAAGTTGTTATGCGCCGTCTGGGCCTGCGGCACCTCGTTGTGGGGCTCGGGCTTCGCGGCATGTACAAAGTCGGGGAACTTGATGGCGTCCTGGATGAAGAAGACGGGGATGTTGTTGCCAACAATGTCCCAGATGCCTTCGTCCGTGTAGAACTTTGTGGCGAAGCCACGTACGTCACGGACGGTGTCGGCGGAGCCTCGGGAACCGGCGACGGTGGAGAAGCGTACGAAGACGGGGGTGGCACGTGAGGTGTCGTTGAGGACGCCGGCGGTGGTGAGCTCGGGGATGGGCTCGTTGAGCTTGAAGTAGCCGTGGGCGCCGGCTCCGCGGGCGTGGACTACACGTTCGGGAATGCGCTCATGGTCGAATCGGTGGATCTAGACAGCCATAAACATTAACCTTGAGCTTCTCAAAAGCCTAGATATATATCAAGTAGCATACCCTCTCTCTAGCAATCTGATCTTCCAGCAAACTGGGGCCCTGTCCGTTGGGTCCTGTGGGCTTAAGCCAATGATCGATATCGTTGATTTTTGTGCCATGGTCAGTGGTCATAGTATGTTTGCCCTTGTCGAAGGAGACGGTGTTTGGGTAGAGGTCAAGGATTTTTTCGTTTGTTGTAGCGATCTCATTGATCTTTTGGGTTGCAGAGACCTTGGCCTCGTTGAGAGACTCTTGGAGTCGCTGGAACACGCCGGACATTGTGGTGATTGTGTTTTTTATTTTATCTTATAGATGAATTATACGTATTGCGATAGATATGTGGGAGGAGGAGGGGACGTTGTGATAGACAATTCAAACGGAGATCAGAGAGGACGGGAGAGCGTCTTTAATATAGTTTTCATTACTCTATCCTATCCACTACTATGGGGAGCTCCAGGAGCAGCTGTCAAAGGAACCAAATGTTGCTGACGCGAACATGACGTCTGCGTAAACAATCCATGCATCCAGCGTAGAGCACGATAGATATCTGTGCCTATTTGTAAACCAAAAGGTCTAGAGGTGTGTGCTGCAAACAAGCAGAAAGGGTGTGCATAAAGCACCCAATTCTGGTCCCCAAAGCGTTAACAATTCCAGAAGCGGCCGGTCTCATTGCCGTCCTCGCCCTGTAGGAGTTTTAGTAGATTATCATTTTTGAGCCCCCAATTGGACAGAAATGAGGGTACTCGTCCTTCCGCGAGGAACGACGTCAGAATTGCCAATCGGTGCATCAATGCGCAGGCAGGGGTCGTGGTTGAAGTAGCAGGGATCAGTGACAGGTGCAGCAACGATCTGACGACCGGCAATCTACGGGGGATGGGTGGATGGGATGCGTGGGATTCCAGATGTGATCATTAGGTTAGGTTTCTTGGACACACGATGTGGAAGGTTTGAAATCAAGGAAACATGTCCTGCGCTAGGGGTTAGGGCGGGCTGGTGGGTTGATAACCATTGCTTCCACCGAGTCGGCTTTGAACATCGGAATCTTGAATTCCAATCCATGACAGCCAGCCTGTATGTAATGCCGTTTCTATCCCTTTTTCAAACGAGATTTGAGATTGATTCTCAGGTCACGATCGGAGACAGGAATGTGAATATCAGCCGTCCAATCCCAATGTCCTCGATTCAATTATTTCCATGCATGTATGTAGTTAAATGC